GAAAAATATCATGATCCGAAATTCTATCAATAAACTGTTCTTTACTACCAGGAAATTTATTCACTATACAAATGATCCTCCCACTTATGGGGCCGTGTACCGTCTGTCGGTAAATATACAAATTTATTTATCTATTCATAACTCTGGAAGACGAGTATTCTATTTTCTTATTGGACAACGGTTGAAGTAAAGATGGTAAAGTATATTTTTCTTCATCTTTTTCGATTTGTTTAATTATTCTAAGATTCCACTAGAAAAAAAGTCGACTGTTCACGGGGCCATTACATCAGCCTTTACCATTTTATTGAACATCATTCTTACTTTAGCTACTGCGAATATATGTCTTAAAGGAATATTTTAACATGTTTTTGTCCGAAGCCATTCCAAGGTCATTATGACTGCCTTACTAACCACATTTTGAATACTTTTGGCTACGAACTTTTAGTCCAGTTGAAACCAATTCTGGAGAAATGTCTTCATAAAACGCTACTCTCACCGATGAAAATGACCGGAGGATTCTGTTTAGCATTTTGCGCTTAGTGCCAAAGAATGCGGATCTTTTTACTCTAGTGATATAAATGTATTCTCTCCATTTATTTAACCATTTATATAATTTTCTGTTTTGTTGATGTCATTCTGCTTCATTCGTAGTTGATATTATAAATTATTGAAAATGCACCCATCCGGATACATAAAGTTTATCTTGACTTGGTTTCCATCAGTAGTTCTTATGTGTGTGATGGAAACATGGGAGGGTTATTGCTCTAAGTGAAGGTGAGAATAGTGCATAACGTGTAATGAAAGTGCGGACAATAGATGACGAATCCGTGTAATCGGCTTCGTGGATCACACGTCTGCCTTGATGGCAATTATAATTGCAGGCTCAGTGAGACCAACAGATCAAAGATAACGGAAATGTTCGTCCCACGACTGTATTATCGCCTGAGTATCTATCGGAAGTCGAGATTGCTGGTACTTCACAGGAAAGAGAGAAGACCGGATCGGACAAACAGGGGAACAAGTTGTAAAAAACAATCCTACCGATTATCAGAACGAAAAAATCAACAGTCGTAATTGTTATTTAAAGAGAGTGGGCAAAAATCCAGCAAGGACAAATGACGACCACACAAATTTTCGGACAAGTTGTCGTCTTGGGTAACAGAATTAATCGGAGGGGGCATACAACATGAGTCTACTCAATTAATTTGAGCCGTGCGTACACCACTTACTTGTGCAGGTGTATAGGTGTGCGTGTATAGCCCGTCGCCTTCAGCCAGTTGGACCGCAGACGCACTAAGTCATAGCGGTGCAGGTGGGACGCTTCAGGTCCTACCAGGGACAATGTCGCTGACCCATGCACCAGGTTGGCCTTTGTTTCTCTGTCCTAGGAAGCGATTCCCACCAATTGGAACAAGAGTAGGGATTTGAATGACGATTGGGTTGGTATAAGGAGCCACAGCCAAATAAGTTTGCTGTATGCTTTTGAATGTGCAGTTCACTTAAACGCAATGGTTGGCTCGTATCTTCGGCACTCGAGGGAGGTGAAGAACGTCGTACCGAAAGTGTACGAGGAAGGTGACGATTGGAAACAGATCGCTTGCATACTGAAGGTGCACGTGAAAACTTGCCGCAACTGGACACGGGCGTACGAATCGACGGAACCGATGGTGCAGCACGGGGGAGTCTGTCGCAAAGCACTGGGAGACAGCAACGTCAACTCTCTGGTGGTGTGGGTTTCTGCACAGCCTACCGTTACCCATGAACTCCTTCGTCTACGGTTGAAGGCAGAGTTCGAACTTACAGTAAGTACCAGCACTGTCTCACGATACTTGGATGGTAGACTTATAACAATGAAGAAATTGCACACCATTCCGGAGTCCATGAACACGATGGAGAACAAAAATCGACGCAGGTCATTCGTTTTGCAGCCCATGGATTACGAGGTGGAAAGAAGACAACCGGTGTAGATTGATGAGACCAACTTCAACTTATTTTGCTCCCGCACTCGTGGCCGCTCACGACGTGGTGGTCGAGCGCAGTGTACAGTGGCGAACAGCCGGGGACCGAATGCTCATCTTGTCGGCGCCATGACAAACAACTGCTTGATAGCGTGTTCGGTTCTGAGAGGCAGTTACAACAAGCAAAGATGCGCACAGTGGCTGCGACAGGTGCTTGATACCAACGGAGCAGGGTTTGTGGAAAGGGGTCTTTTGATTTGTGACAACGCGCCCTGTCACACGCACCTGGAGCACGTCTTTCTGGAGGAACCGTACCGCTCTGGGAGACTTCTACGCCCTGCGCCATACTACCAGCTCTCAATCCCATCGAGGGCATCTGGAGCATAATAAAGGCTCATGTACAACAGGCAATGAGGGGACGGTACTCCGAGATGCTCATGGGGGATCCTGAATGTAGAAAGTAGAAGTCACGATTAAAACTCACGCACAATAATGTGCCTCGACGGGGAATCGAACCCCGGAAGTGACGGGTGAGTGAGCCAATCTGCAACACCAGGACAGGTACTGTGAGCCCACTGGCAATACGTCGCGCACCAAGCAGAAGTCATGTGTTAAAATTTGCGCACCTAATCGTCAGCCCTCGGTAGCTCAGTGGTAGAGCAGCGGATCGGAAATTCGTGGACCGGGGTTCGATTCCCCGTCGAGGCACATTGTTGTGCGTGAATTTTAATCGTGACTTCTACTTTCTACAATCTTTACCTTATTCACAAACATCCAAATTTGATCCTGAATGTATTATGAATAAAAGCGAGTGGCGGATTCG